GTTTCTGATTACATTTATATTCTCACGTACTTATATCTTTTCAGGACCCATGATTTCCATCACATTCAGTAGACACTCTTTTACAACTTGCTATCTGTGAAGAATGTCATGTCCTGGGCAGATTTTTCACTTAAATATATAAATACTTGTTTTATTAATAACCAAAACAAATCTTGTTAACTCTTCTGTTCTCTTTGCAGCTCACTGGATTTGATCACATCTTTTCCACATCCCTGGTCTTTGTACTTATGGTGGTTTGCTTCCTAATGGCATCATAATGGCTGTTCTCATACATTTCATCCTTTGCCAAATAAGCACATAGGAATGGTCTTTAGGATACAAAGTGGAAACCTATGACTCTCTACATCTATGTCCTTCTTCCTCCTTTTCATAGAGATATGAGAAATATTTGCTTTTCTAACACTATACAGTAGAAGTGACTTTCACAAGGCAAAAACTGTTTTGCAAAATATTCTAAGTGTTCTCTGTAATTCAACCTCTGGATTTGATCTCCCTCTACCTGATGGAAGGACATGTCCTCAGTCTTGTCTAGGAAGTCATGCAGTCACTTCCACAGCCATGTTGAGTGGCAGGGTTCCTGTTGTCCCAGAATTGGCCTTAGAGCCCACACCATAAACCATGCAGGTAAGTACCCCTCGCCCACAGTGGTTCTCAACCCTCCCCTGCTCCCACTGCCATTGCAATGGGGAACTTTGGAGATGCCAATGCTTAGCTTTTCTCCAGAACAATTACTTGGAATCTTTGAGGATGGGACATGGGTATGGATGTTTTTTAAAGCCCCGCAGTGAGGGGCGCCTAGGTGGCTCAGATGGTTAAGCATCTGCCTTCGGCTCAGGTCATGATCCCAGGGTCCTGGGATCGAGCCCCACATCAGGCTCCTGGCTCAGCAGGGAGCCTGCTTCTCCTCCTCCCTCTGCCTCTCTCCCTGCTCATGCTCTCTCTCTCCCTCTCTGTATCTCTGTGTCTCAAGTGAATAAATAAAATCTTTAAAAAAAAAAAAACTATAAAAAAAAAATAAATAAAGCCCCGCAGTGTTAATTCAGGCAATTCTGGTATATACACGAGGTTGAGAAGGACAGATCTAAAGCAGGCAGCCAAGAACGGGGCTAGATACTGACCTGCAAAGCTTAGCAAGAGGTGGCAATACCAGCCCTACTGTAACCAGTGGCAGCCTGCCATCTACGCCTAGACTTACCAAACTAGGAGGGAGGAGTGACTGGTGCTGCCACAGAGCCCTCTAGAACTCCCACATGCTCCTCACGCGACAGCCAATACATGATGCCTGGCCCCCCAGAGGCACACATGGCCAGATGGTGTCAGGACAGCAGTAACAACCACAAGAGGATGCATTTACCTCAGCAGCCAGTAAATTAAAGAGATAAAATAAACCTGCCCCCTCTCCCACAGCAGCATCCTGGAAGAAGAAGAGAAAGAGACAGGTGTCCCAGACCCATCCGGTCCCCCTCCAATCAAATTGTGCTTGGGTAAAAGGGAGATGGTAAAGGTTTAACCCACACATGAAGTCAAACTGGATCGAATATTAATAACCAAAAAAGACTAGAAAAGATGAAACATGCCCAAGATGTCACTGTGGGATGGGAAAGGGAGAGTCAGCAGCACAGAGCTGGACACTATGATTGAAGGAAAAATCTTGGCCATGTTTATCCTGCTCCATGAGTTCACACGGCTTTATAAACCAATTTATACTTTAGTGAATTTCTCATTCATACCAGGTTTAAACACTATGAGTACAAGATTTTCTCAGGATTTCTCCTTCCTGTCCTCCAGGGGTGACATCCATGTTCAGTGGACATCAAACAGACATGGAGGGAGGTGCGGGGTGGGGAGCCCCTGTCCTTGCATTGGTTTCATCTGAACCCAAGCTTGCAAAGCCTCCTGGCTAAGACCACACCTCTTTGGAATCCACTAACTCCCTCAGCAAATCTCCAAACCCTTTGTGTGAACACAAGGAAGATGTAGCGGCTGTCTCAAGTGTGCCTGGGGAGACTCGGGAGCAATCCTGCAGCCCCCCTCTGCCTTTGCCACCCCATGCAGCCCCGTGGTGTGCCCCATACGAGGCAGGACGTGAGGTCCCTTTCATGGAGATATTCACATACTCCAGCTCGTCCCTGCGCTTCTCATCCCTCCCCAACTGGGAAAGCATCCTAGTCTGCATGGCAGTGCTTGAGAGAGAAGTGAGAGGAAAGGCTTCCCCTAATCACATATTCTTCCAAATCTGATCTATCCTACACCTGCACCAAAGTTTTTGAACCCAATAGCCAAGAATGTGAAACCTTTGGTCTTTGGTTCCCCCATGAGAGTTTCCCTAGAATAAAGGAGACTCCATTCTAGCACCCCGAATGAATGATCACGGATTAAAAAATGAATTGGCCCCACATCCCCATTAATATGGCACCTGCTCACCAGCCCACCACTGCTCTTGCCTATTAAGATCAGAGAAAAACGTGAAAGAACACCAACAGAAGATGATACCAGAACAGCGGAAATCAATTATGTGCAAGAATTTCAGGAAGATATTATTTACCACAAACTTATATAAGTTGAAACAAAATACACAAAAAGATGAGTTTGGTGCATGGGAATTTGTGAAAGCTGCTGATAAATACTACTCTCTATTATTTTTTTAAAGATTTATTTGTTTTAGGGGCGCCTGGGTGGCTCAGTCATTAAGCATCTGCCTTTGGCTCAGGTCATGATCCCAGCGTCCTGGGATCGAGTCCCACATCAGGCTCCCTGCTCGGCAGGAAGCCTGCTTCTCCCTCTCCCACCCCCCCTGTGTTCCCTCTCTCACTGTGTCTCTCTGTGTCAACTAACTAACTAACTAACTAACTAACTAAATAAATAAATAAATAAATAAATAAATGTCTCTAAAGATTTATTTAGTTTAGAGAATGAGAGAGAGAGAGAGAGAGTGAGAGAGCATGAGTGGGGGAGGGGCAGAGGGAGAGGGAGAGAATCTCAAGCAGCCCCGATGAGCATGGAGGCCAACACAGGGCTCGATCTACAACCCTGAGATCATGACCTGAGCAGAAATCAAGAGTCCAACACTTAACCAACTGAGCCACCCAGGCACCCCAATACTACTCTCTATTAGTAGAAGTAACAGAAGTTGGTTCTTACTGGATATGTAGAACTTGTCAAGGAGTCTTGTTTCCTGTTCCTGGCTATTGTGAGTAAAGCTGCTACAAACATTCTTATACAAGTCTTTGTGTTGACATGAGCTTTAATTTCTCTAAACAATGCATTCATAATTTTGCAATATATTGCTTTTTCTGGTGCTATTTTTACACAAATATAATTTAATAATAAAAAGCAATTTTATAATAAAAATAAATCCCTGCCTTTAATTTGAAATAAAATTAATTTGGGGGTGGAGAAACGTATTTTCATCATCTCTGTACTTTTATTATATAAGTTATAACAGGGCAGGGGTGTCAGGGTGGCTCAGTCAGTTAAGTGTCTACTCTTGACTTCTGCTCAGGTCCTGATCCTCAGGGTTCTGGGATCGAGCCCTGTGTTGGGCTCTGCACTCAGTAGGGAATCTGCTTGTGATTCTCTGTCTCCCTCTCCCTCTGCCCCCCTCCAGCCCCCGCTCATGTTCTCTCTCTCTCTCCCTCTCTCTAAAAGAAATTTTTTTTTTTTTTTAAGTTATAACAGGGCCATCACACTGGCAGGAAGCCTCATGGTCGAGAAGGCACTAGGAGTTAGTGGATACTGTGACAAACTGAAAAGTGCACACATACCTTGTTTTAAATGTGCAGCCACTATTTCCACTTCAACCAATTCACCATGGAGCCCCAAAATTGCCCAATCTTCTAATTTTTCAAGGGCAGATTTTTTTTGTGCATACACACAATCTCCTAAATTTAAATGTTGACCAATAAGAAGTATTAAGCACTGGTGGGCTAATGTTATCCAGGATTAGGCTGTACAAGATAAAACACAACACAAGCCAGATTTGGCCCAAGACTCATTAGTGTCTAGCTAAGATTTTGGTTCTCAATCTGGCTATGAGCAATGAACTTTTAGCTTTTTAAAAATACAATTTGCCTGGGCCCTATCTCAGATTCTGCCTTACTAGATCTGGAATGAGTCCCGGGCATCTGCATATTGTTTGAAATGCTAGAGTTCATCGTGTTTCACAGTCAGTGTGAAGAAGTAGGGAATTAAATTTCAAGTTAACAGTGTTTGGTCACATGTCCAACTTCAGCACTGTGTTTAGAACACCCTGTGGCTTTCCCAGGCTAATTCTACCTGTTTCAGAGTTCAAACACTGATGTGCATATCAGTAAATTATAATCATGAAACTGTCACAAGGCAGTTTTTCTCATCTCTAATTAACCCAAATGGCATCAAGTTTTGGCTCTACTGTGTTTGGGAACAGTATAATAGCTGACCTTTGTGGAGGAAACTTGATTCTAAGTAAAAATGTTCATATACGAGTTGATAGGAATTTCTTATTCATAAACATGCTAACCATAGGATAAAAACATCTCCACAAATAAGGGAGAAAAGAAAAGAAGGAGAAGGCAGATCAAAGGAGCTGTTGCATTTTTACAGACAATTTAGCAGGTAACAGGTCTTGTGAGATGAGTACAAAGTCATGGGGACAGTTAAGATTCCTAACCTGGGACTCTTGCGTGTCAGGTGAATTTGGGCTTAAAGTAAATAAGGTAGAAAGATGCTGTGATAGGAACCGCTCTCAATTTTTTTCCAATGAGCTCCTGCAAGCCTGAGGCAAATGGGTCTTTATGAAAAGTGGAGACAGCCAATAATAAGATCCTTTCATCATTTGCATTTCAAGCCTCTGACTTTAGTCATGTGGCAAGCAAATGAAGAAAAATTGGAAATAACCATTAACTGAGGGAAAAATTACAGTAACATTGAGTGAGGGTCAGAAGGTTGCAGGGCAGGTACCAGTTCTTGGCGTGGAAACCTGAAAGTCAGGGCCAAAGAGAATGGCCACGGTGAGCACAGATGCCACGGACAGAGACACATGCAGGTTTAAAATCGTCCTCACCTTGGTGGCCTCTGGAATAGAGTGCATCACTGGCATCGTTGGGAATGGCTTCATCACGGCCATCCATGGGGCCGAGCGGGCCAGAGGCAAAAGACTCCCTGTCAGTGACTGCATTCTGCTGATGCTCAGCCTTTCCAGGCTCTTGCTGCAGATCTGGATGATGCTGGAGAATACTTACAGTCTACTGTTCTGGGTCACTTATAACCAAAACACAGTGTTTATACTCTTCAAAGTCGTCATCATGTTTCTGAACTATTTCAACCTCTGGCTTGAGCTGCCTGGCTCAACATCTTCTATTGTCTTAGAATTGCAAACTGCTCACCCTTTGTTCTTCTTGATGAAGAGGAAAATCACAGCGCTGATGCCTTGGCTTCTGGGACTGTCACTGTTCATCTCCTTATGCTTCAGCTTTCCCTTCTCTACAGATATCTTCAATGTGTATGTAAATAGTTCCATTCCCATCCCCTGCTCCAACACCCGGGAGAAGTACTTCTCTGAGACCAATGTGGTCAACCTGGTTCTTCTCTATAACCTGGGGATCTTCATTCCTCTGCTCATGTTCATCCTTTCAGCCACCCTGCTGATCATCTCTCTCAAGAGACAAACCCTCCACATGGAGAGCAATGCCACTGGTTCCAGGGACCCCAGCATGGAGGCTCACATGGGGGCCATCAAAGCTACCAGCTGCTTTCTCATTCTCTACATTTTCAATGCAGTTGCTCTATTTATTTCCATGTCCAACATCTTCGATATCAACACTTCCTGGAATATTGTGTGCAAAATCGTCATGGCCACTTACCCAGCTGGCCACTCAGCGCTACTGATCTTGGGGAACCCTGGGCTGAGAAGAGCATGGAAGAGGTTTCAGCACCATGTTCATCTTCACCTGTAAGAGCAGACTCCATGACTAGAACTCAGAGAACCACCGGACCTGGTTCAACCAGTTCTACCTTTCCCCATCTAGACCTTTCTCCTCACCCATCTTTTCTGCCCTAATCTTGCTCTGATACTTCTCCTCAGGTAACTGGGCCCTTTCATGAATGGGATGTTGAATTTTTAACGTGAGATTCTAAGCAAAAGTAGCTAAGCAACTCTAAGATGGATCTGTGAAAGTTTCTCGATCTATGCTCATTCATCTACTGCCCTGAGCCCTCCCTACGTCCTCCTCCCCTGAGCCTGAAGGAGAGGATGGCCAGACATCTCTGTTTGCCTGGGATGGTCTCAGTTTGTGCCTGTTGTCACTGAGCACCCTTTAATTCTCAAGGATATCTTCGTCTGGATGAAAAATTACATGGTCACCCTACTTAAGACACCCTCCTACCCACAGGAGGGCTAGTGATGAGCATAGAGGGCAGTCCAAGAGGTAGAAGGGAAACTGGAATACCCACAGGGAAAAAGGGATTCTGGAAAGAAAGGCTGGCCAGAAGTACCAAGTGCCACAGAGGTTTCAAGGAGAATGGAGGCCGCACATACTCTTAGTGGCATGACAGGTGGCATTCAGAATGCAGAAGTTTCCAGAGAAGGTGAGGAAAACAGGAGTTCGTAAAGACCAATAATTTCAGGATGTTGTCTGAAAAGAAACATGAAATACAGGGTGGCAGGTGGGATGAGTGGATGGTCAACTGAATGCTTCATTTTTCCAAATGGTGGGGGGATGAAGGGAAAAGAGAAGGGCACTGAGGGCAAGAGTGGTGTGTGCAGCCACAGAGAGAAAACAGGAGGAGTCCAGAGTAGAGGGACGTCTATTTTGCTGTGCTCCTGGGTCTGTGGCAATGCACGTGTGTCTGCCTCTGGTGTTGTGATTTCTAGGTCTCCTTGAAGTGATGGGAGCTGCATGGGCAGGTGACCGGGGAGGGGCTGTTTGAGAAGAAGGAAAACGTCACACTCTACTGTCACTCTTCAGAATGACAGCATCCGCGCTGCCTCAAAGGGCTGTGCACAAAATAAGACACCCCACTCCTAGATATCTTGGAACCAGAAAGTTAGGAATTTGGGATCTTCTTGTATTTGGTGTTTTTAAAATCAGAATTACTGAGGAAAATATGAAAAGAAGGCTCCTGATCATACCAAGGCTCCCAAATGAAAATGTAAGATCAGTAGCAAAGACTAAATGCTGAGCGTCTGGGCTCTCAAGCACATTTTTCCGAGAAAGTCCCTTATTTCTGTGAACAATAAAAAATCACACACACACACACACACACGCGCACACACTCACGTACATCTCTTTAAAATTCCAACAGCATGGGATTTATTCAACTAGAAGGGAAAAGATTCATGAAAATACACATTTTTCATATTTTCCTGACATTTATTTCTATAACTATTTAAGGCTGGTTTGGTTGTTATGGTAAGACAAATCAGATTCTGAAGTGCCATTCCAGCTCCTAAAGAATAGAGAAATACACTTCTTTCTCAATAATACATGCATACCTATCCCTGAAAAACAGAGAAAAACAGAAAATTGATTTAGAGCCACCAGGTGATTAATATGAACAATGCCAAGATAACAAACTATATAATCCCTCCCCATGCTTATTAAGAAGAAATATCGTGTCATTGGTTGCAAAAGCCAAAAGCAGCAGAGAGCTAACGAGAGCTGCAAGGATGGTGACGTCAGTACTGTAGTTGCTGTACCTTCAACCAGATAAGGCTCCCTCCAGTTCTCCCTCCCTCCCTCCCTCCCTTCCTGCTTGCTTGCTTGCTTCCTTCCTTCCGTCTTTTCTCTTTCTTTCTGTACAACCCACTAAATTTCCATAATGAGCCAAAACACCCTATCTTCAAATTGGTTGGTTTTATTTTATTTTATTTTTTTTAAGATTTTATTTATTTATTTGAGAGTGAGAATGAGATAGAGAGCATGAGAGGGGGGAGGGTCAGAGGGAGAAGCAGACTCCCCGCTGAGCAGGGAGCCCCATGCGGGACTCGATCCTGGGATTTCAGGATCCTGACCTGAGCCAAAAGCAGTCGCTTAACCAACTGAGCCACCCAGGCACCCCAATAAAATCTTTAAAAAGAAAAAGAAAAGAAATCAGAAGTCCTAAAGGATCTGCTTTGCAAGCTCTACATGACAGCCCTGTGCCCTGAGAGAGGTTTGAAAGCTACGGCGTAAAGAGTTCCTTTACCCACAAAATCACTTTGGATATTCATCCGCCAAGTGGAGCAGCAGGGGGACTTTGGTTGTCACAGGACTCCCGTGTGGAAGGCCGGTACCGGGTGGGGTGTCCCAAACCTGGCAGAGTCCAGGAGAAGGAAGACTAGAGTAGCAGCCAAGGCCAATCTAAGAGCTGAGATTTGAGCGGCACGGAATTGTCCCCCAATCCCTCGCGACCTTTGCCTTCTAATGCCTCAGTGTCTAATTCCACTGGGGTTCCTGCTTTTCTGGGAGGGGACTCCACAGGAATTCTCTTGTATTTTTCGCTCAAACATTCTTTACTTTGGGCTGCTAGGGCAGAAACTTCTACTGAATGAGGGAAAAGGAACTACACATTCAATCGAGCAATGTCTTGAGTGGGGGGACGACAGCAGAAACCAAGAGGAGAAATCTGGTGCAATCAGGGCAGAACGGGCAGGGAGGGATGATGCTGAAAGTCCCACTCGACTCCCGTTTCCCTCTCCCTCTGGACAGAGGTGGACGCCTTAGAAGAGAGGTGGGAGGAGTGGAAATTCCCCACACGCTCAGGAAGGTTGGTTTGCGGGAGGAGGAGGAGGGATAAACAAACTGGGGCGCCAGGCCTTAGTACTGGAAGGCTGAGGGAGCTCTCTGGGCCCCGTCGTTAGACCCGGGACAGGTTGCCTCAGAGAGCAGAGTGCTGTTGTAGCACATGTAAACGATCGAGTGTGCCGCGCTCGAATAAAACTTTATTTACAGACACTGAAATGTCGATTTCGTATTTTTCACACATCAGGAACTATCTTTTGACTTTTTTTCAACCATGTGAACATGCAAAAAGCCTTCTTAGCATGTGGGCTCTACAAAACCAGGCGGTGAGTGTGATTTGACCCCCAAGCCACAGTCCGCCATCCCTGTGCTTGGTACTTTCTCCAACACAAGGAGGCACCAAAACCCACCACCGAACCCCAGCTACCTTCACTGTAAACCAGACATTCATCCCGGCAATTTTGCCATGTTTTGAACGCGGCAACTTTCCGAATATTTCTGCCACTTTCAAGTCCTCCAGCTTTGGTCCACCCTTGGTGATCCCTAAACCACAATGTTTTAGTTCTTTGTGAGAAACAATGAGCGCCCTAGTCCCTCTCTCTTACCACTGCCATGCTGTTAAGGACAGACACAGGGCCTCAAAGGAGTTTCTATCTAAAGCTTTAAAAGATATCACCCTGAAGCTGTTCAGTTGGTAACAAGGAGTAAAAATCATTAAAGAGGTTCCTGTAGGGTCCTCGGGAACGCTTCGAAGGCTACGTCTCTAGCTCTGAAATGATCACACTCCTCCAGACCCCGGTGTGAGACTGGACACCAGGCTGTGGGGCCCTGTGTGGTTCTGACCCAGCAGGGCGATGCTGACATCTTTGTGTCCTTTTTGGCTGGTTTATTAGACGATGATGAGAAATATATATATATATATAAAATAAATTTTAAAATAAAATAAAACTGTTGGGGCCCCTGGGTGGTGCAGTCAGTTAAGCCTCCAACTCTTGGTTTTGGCTCAGGTCATGATCTCAGGGTCTTAAGATTGAGCCCTGTATCAGGCTCCATGCTTAGCTCAGAGTCTACTGGTGTTTCTCTCTCCCTCTCCTTCTGCCCCTCCCTGCTCTCTCTCTCTCTTTCTCTCTCAAATAGATAAATAAATCTTAAAAAAATTAAATCCTGATCTTCCTGCTTTATTTCCTTTTGGGATAGAAAAAGGGGAACTCAGGACAGAATTCTTCTCTCAGTCTCACTGGACCAGTTAGGAAAGATCACGGCCAAGAGAAGAACGTTTCACTGAGCACCGTTAGAAATCCTTACCATGGCCAGAGGATGCAAAAGAGAAAAGGGTCCCAATACATCCAGTCCTCCCTAATGAAAGCTGCTGTTTGCATCTCCTGCCTAGAGCCCTCACAGACCGCAGATAAATCTGTGGTTTATTCAAACCAGATGCTGGATAATAAATTATGACTAGTGGCCCTGAGTGCAGCTGGGACCAAGAGTGACAGAAATGCTTAGCAGGGAGGGGGTGGCAATTTGATTCTCCGAAGACTGGAGACCTCATAGGATCCTAGTCGGGTTTCTTGTTCATCTTACTTCTCAGTGGAATAAGACCTGACATTCACATTCTATTCATGAACACACAGAGAGAGCAAAATTTGCCTGCCCTTGGATTCAAAGGCCCAGAAAAATGCCTCGAAAACCTCAGTCTAGCCACTTGGAGATTGTGTTTGTGTCTATACCAGCCCCCGCAGCCACCCTCCACTTCCTCCTAGCCTAGGAACAGTAGCAAATCTGCCTGGAGGACTCTACAGGGACAGGGAAGAGGAACTGGATTTGGTGTCCTTTGCTGAGGTTGGAAATAGGAGGAAACACGACTTCACTCCTCTCTCCACCCCTTCACTCCCCACCGGCTACCCCCCAACTGCCTGCCCTCACAGTGCATGGATCCCAGATTCCCTACCCACCCTGAGCAGGTCGTGACAGGCGGTGGCATCCAGAAGTAGAAATGGGGGAAGCATATGTTTTCTCTGCACTCATGGAGTGTTGGAGATAGCAACAGGAGTAGATTATGTCAAAGGTAAGCTCTGGCCATAAAGTGATTGAGGTACAAGAAAGGAAAGGCCATATGACTTTTCGGGTCTCTCTGGCTGACATGTGTCTGAGCAGACAGGGCAATGCTCCAGTGAATCAGTGCCTACCCAACTTTGGTGAATAAACCCCAAAGTCCCAACTGCAAACCCAAGAGA